AGCTCTGAGCAACAGCAGTTCGATTCCCGGCCCGAGCTGAGCAGCCGCTGAGCTGCCAACAGGTGGCAGGATGGCTCAGCTTAAAAAAAAAAAAAATCTTTATACAACTCATACATCAGACCCAGCTGGTTTTCTAGGAGAGTTTTGCAATGCATTTAATAAGGTATTTGTTGAGTTTTTTCAATCATCATGACAGGTGTTTTGTATTAGGGGCAGTTTGTCATACCTCTAGTCCGGCCTGTTACCAGAGATGGAATTTATGTTCTCTTTTTAATTAAAACAAAATTAGTTAATAAAAGTCACAGTTCAAATTAGAAAAAGGTACTATATGTAACTAAAATATATTTTATAGGGAGCCCTTACAAAACAATATGGAAATAATGAGCCTGCCAAATTTTAAATGGATGAGACATGAATAGGTACTTCACAAAAGAAATAAAGGTGGCCAATAAGCATATAAAGATGTTTACTTGTAATAAGAATCAAAGAAGCATTTTGCATATTGAATAAGACTGGTTTTTGTTTTAGTCCTTGTCCAGAATGCATGAGTCTTAGGCATATACCTTGACCTAAGACCTAGTGTATTGAAAACTAGGATAATTTGCCTTGCCTTCTTTAAGGATTTGTTGTAAAGATTTAAATAAATACACAAATACGTGTGTGTACAGATATATATGTATATACACACATATATATGAAATTCCCTTGCAAACTCTGAAGCCCTATTCAACTAGGAAATATTTTCTCTCAGAGCACAGGCTGCAAAGCCCTGCATTCTGTTCTTCGATGAATTTGAATCCATCGCTCCTCGCCGAGGCCATGATAATACAGGAGTCACCGATCGTGTGGTTAACCAGTTGCTGACTCAGCTGGATGGAGTAGAAGGCTTACAGGGTAACAACTGTAAATACAGAAATCTTTTATTCTAACACCATTTCACCAGGATTTATAAAGAATTTTTCCCCCCCAGGTGTTTATGTATTGGCTGCTACTAGTCGCCCTGACTTGATTGACCCTGCCCTGCTTAGGCCTGGCCGACTAGATAAATGTGTATACTGCTCTCCTCCTGATCAGGTGACAATTTCATATTTCAAGTGCAAAACCCAACAAATGCTACACTTTTTTTTTTAATTAAAATTTATTGGGGTGACAATGGTTAGATTACATAGGTTTCAGGTGTACAATTCTGTAATACATCATCTATGTGTCACATTGTGTGTTCGCCACCCAGAGTCAGTTCTCCTTCCATCACCATATATTTGATCCCCTTTACCCTCTTCTATCCCATCTCCCCGCTTATCCTCTGGTAACCACTGAAAATACTATTGTCTGTGTCTATGAGTTTTTGTTTCTTTATTTGTCTTGTTCCTTTGTTGATTTCAGTTTTATATGCCACATATCAAAGAAGTCATACGGTTCTCAACTTTTTCTGTCTGACCTATTTTGCTTAGCATAATAATCTCAAGATCCATCCATATTGTCGCAAATGGCAGTATTTCATCTTTTCTTACGGCAGAGTAGTGTTCCATTGTGTATATATACGGAATCTTCTTTATCCAGTCATCTATCAAAGGATACTTTGGTTGTTTCCATATGTTGGCCACTGTAAATAAAGCTGCAATGAACATCGGAGCACATATATTTTTATGGACTAATGTTTTCAGATTTTTGCGGTTGATACCCAGGAGAGGGATTGCTGGGTCATATGGCAATTTTATTCTTAATGTTTTGAGGAACTTCGACAGTGCCTTCCATAGTGCTGCACCCATCTCTGCATTCCCACCAACAGCATATGAGGGTTCCTTTTCCTCCACTGCCTCTCCAACACTTATTGTTTGTCTTGTTGATGATAGCCATTCTAAATGGTGTGAGGTGGTATCTCATTGTGGTTTTGATTTGCATTTCTCTGATGATAAGTGATGTTGAGGATCTTTTTATATGTCTGTTGGCCATCTGTATGTCCTCTTTGGAGAAATGTCTATTCAGGTCCTCTGCCCATTTTTTTTTTTTTAAGATTTTTATTGGGAAATTGGGGGATGGGAACAGTGCTGGGGAATTGGGGAAAGGGGAACAGACAAGTTGCTGTCCTTTTGTTCTTCAGTCTAGTTGTGGAGGATGTTGCTTCA